TCCTACAAACTAAATAATAAATACTGATTAGGGTTATTTTCACCAAAGAAATGTAGTAGAATACATCTTGGCCTACATTTATGAAGAACAATTATTTATTTGCAAACTTTTATAACAGAAAAAGAAAAAAAACTATTTTTATTTTTCAAAATTCTCAGTCTTTTTTTTGCTCATTTAGAAAAAAAATAAAAACCCCAGTGGTGATTAAATACCACCAAATGAAAGCTCTAGTTGTGTGAACAGAGTGATAAAATTTTAGTTTGGGTACAGTGTTGCATGACCGTGCAATTATTCAAAATGTGAGAGCGCTGAAACCTGAAAATTGGCCTGGGCGTGAAGGGGGTAAAAGTGCCCAATATTGAAGTGGTTAAATGCATACATTGTATGTTTATGGTTTTGCCTGCCAAAGCAACTGTAATTTAGTACAAACCTCAGCCAGGTAGGTGACATTTCCTGGATCAGCAATGCATCTTCCAAGGTCATCTCATCACCTCCTTGGGCCAACATCTTGACATCATTAAGTCTTTCTATCTGAGAGGAGGTGATCCAAGAACAGTACAAGGCAGTAGCGGAATGACTTTCTTGGACATGCAACTGTGTAAATCACAATAGTGATTTCGGCAAGTAAACCGAGTATATGTATTTTAACTATGTGTTTAGTCATTTCCCAGGAGATGTGCCTTAAGTAATTGTCCCGGTATTTCTCAGAAGCCTATGCTTCTAGTTACTCTCCAGTGAGAAAAGGACAGAAGGGAACACATAAGAAAATAAATTAGTAACACATTGGAGTTTATCTGGATACCACACAGACAGGCAGGATTAACGACCCTAGGGATATATGTCCCACAGGGCATATGACTTGCTGTGAATTACACCATAGATCATGTCCTCTGTGCTAAGCTGAGATGTGCTTTACAAGACTATTTTTCTTCTCACATGTATAATCCCCAACTCCAAGCTTTAAAAGAATATATATGGTCACTAACACATGTTATGAAGATAAAGAGATAGAACTGGCATTTAAGGATATCTTTCCTGCCTAAAGCTGCCTAGAGATGGGCACATTTTCCAGTGGCTGTGACAAAAGACCTATTATGTGCCTTTTAATGAACAACTGCTAAGCACCCTTCTGCTCCTGGTTTAGGCCCCATGTACACGGGACACTTCTGAACGATGGAAACAGACTGCTGGAAAATGTAGGTTAAAAAACGCCTGTTTAGCAGAGTTTGCATAACGTGTTTATGTGCGTTTGCGTTTAGAAGCATTTTTTTAAAGATACGCACAGGAGAACCTCCCAAATGCCCAGAATGCACTGAAACGTGGTAAATTATTAACTATTTGAGACTGTTCCAGAGAAATATAGAGAGTAGAAGCAGAGACAGCAGTATGTTTTGAGATTAGCTTAGGTGTGAGTTGCTCATTAACATTTCTTTTGTTTCCAATGGTGGTGAAGGTGTCTGCTGGATTGTCATTAGGGCAGGGGGTCTTCATGAGAAATTTGAGGTGTGAATGGTCGTTAACATATCTTTTGTTTCCAAGGGTGGGAGAGGTCTCAGGTGTGACTTGGTCATTACAATGTGTGACAAGCTTGGTAGGAACATCCTGTTTTCAGTGTTTTGCCCATCTGTGTACCTTGAAAACACTTTGCATGAATTTTTCATGATGAAAAAGGCTCTGGACAGCATTGAGAACTGGAAGAGTTAAAAAAAAATTCAGCCGCAAACGCTTATAAATGTGATTTGCCACGTTTACAAGCGTTTTGCGTTTGAAACGCTGATAAAAACGTCTGCTGAACGCAAGTTTTCTGCTTTAAAAACAAAAAAAAAGACTGTAAACTCAAATGCCTGTAAATGATGATGTGTACATGGACACATAGGAAAACATTAGGGTGAGTTCAGGGGCTGCTGAAAAAAAACCAAAAAAAAACCGCTGAACAGCTTCTAAATGAGAGTTTATCAGCTGCAGTGTACATGAGCCCTAAGGTTACCAGTAGGCATGACATGTCTATGGATCTCAAGTCTACAAAAGCCCTACATGGTGACACTCATGCAATGCTATTTCTCCGCCAGTTATTCCTTCTCCATTCATGATAATGAGCTTCTAAGAATATAGTGCACTCTGCAGTGTGCTAACAACTGCTTGCCTTACAGTGGTTGTAAACCCTTACATACACCCAATGTAATGAATACGGGTGATAGACAGATTAAACAAATCCACCTACATAAGGTGTACTTCTTCATCTGCAGTCCTCTCTTCTCTACATCTGTTCAAAGCGCAGGATTTATATAGGATCTCTCAGCTCTGAAAAACAGGGGGCGGAGAGCTAAAGTTATACTCTGCAGAACCCAGGCTGTGTGCTGGAGGGTCCCTCACGTCGCCTTTTTTCTCTTGGTGTCAGGGAAAATCTGTAAAAAGTGACTCATGCAGATAATAGGAGGCAGCAGACAGAAATGTTCTAGACTGAGACAAGTACACACTATAGAGGGATATGCTTTGTTCATATTTCATGTCAATATTTGCAACCACCTTAAGTGCACTCCTACTCAAAGATCATTAAAGCAGTTGTAAAGGCTGAAGGTTTTTTACCATCATGGATTCTATGCATGAAGGTAAAAACCTTCTGTGTGCAGCAGTGCCCTCAGCCCCCTCAATATTTACCTGAGCCTCATCAGATCCAGCAATGTGAATGACAGCCTTGGCTGCCCCGGGTCTCTCCCTCCTCATTGGCTCAGACAGCAAGTGTGAGCCATTAGCTTGTACTACTGTCAGTCACAGCCAGTCAGCTAATGAGGAGAGGGGATGGTTCCAAGATGCAGCTCCGTGTGTGAATGGACACACGGAGCAGTGGGTGCCCCCATAGCAAGCTGCAAGCTGGGGGGGCACCCGACAGACACGAGGAGCCAGAAGAGGCTGCAGGGGACCTGAGAGGAGGATCCAGGCTGCTCTGTGCAAACCCACTACACACAGTAGGTAAGTATAGACATGTTTGTTATTTTACAAAAAAAAAAATAATGAACCTTTAGAATCACCTTAATTCTGCACAACAGAGACTAGAGGACATAAAGCAGCGCTCTTGCAGTTGTGCAATTTCAAAGACATAAATGGCCTTTTCGTAACTATTAATGTGACACTTAATGGCCCCGTAATCTATTTTCCATTTCTGTGCTTCATCTGCCTCTTTGTAAGGTCCTCCATGAACTCCTAAACCTCACCTTTTGCCGCTCACTCCTTTTGTTTGGAATGAGCAGTGCACATTAGTTGTGGTCATGTGCACTGCTGTACACACTATAAAATTCCATAGTCTTTAGCCCATCTCAGGAGTGAGCAAGAGAGGGTGGCTATGGTAATACATACAGTGGGACCAAGGAGAGTTAACATAGCCACCCTCTTAACAGAAAGCCAGATCACCAAAAAAACAAAGAAAATTGGAAATTGTAAGGAGGCTGAAAGCAATAGAAGGTTCCTTCTTGAGTTAAGAATGCATAGCTGAATAGAATATATTTTTTTTTTTAATAACAAGAGTTTAGAGTAACTTTAACTCGGTGAATAAATGTGGCAGTTGTGGCAAAACAATCAGCCAATTTAACAATGACCTTCGTAGTCATAAATACCACAAAAGGTGGCCACACATTGATATATTATTATTTTACAGTGGTTAGCGCCAAAAAGTATGCTCAGCGCTGTACAATATAGTGGGGGACAGTACATGAGACAATACAGTAACAAAACAATATACGAGAGGTTCGAGGGCCCTGCTCTTTCGAGCTTACAATCTAGGAGGGAGGGGATAGTGGTACAGGAGGAAGTGGCTGTGGAGGATGAAGTGGTAGGAGGAGTGGAGGAGATTGGCTGTTAAGTGAGGGTGGGGAAGGCTTCCCTGAAGAGATGGGTTTTCAGGGTGCGCCTAAAGGCGAGGAGGGTAGGTGACAGTCTGATGGATTGGAGTAGTGAGCTCCAGAGGATGGAGGAAGTCCTGGAGAAGGCCTGCAGTTGGGTGTGGGAGGAGGAGACCAGGAAGCTAGAAAGTAGGAGGTCTTGTGAGGAGTGAAGAGTCCGGGGGGTGGTATTTGAGTATCAGGTCGGTGAGGTAGTTTGGGGCAGTGTTATGAATGGCTTTGTATGTCTGTGTTAGTAGTTTGAATTTGCGTTGGGCAATCGGAAGCCAATGGAGGGAATGACAGAGGGGGGTGGCAGAAGCGGAGTGGTTGGTAAGGTGGATGAGTCTGGCCACAGAGTTCAGGATAGACCGAAGTGGGGAAAGTCTGTGATGAGGTAGGCCGGTGAGGAGGTAGTTGCAGTAGTCGAGTCGTGATATAATAAGGGAGTGAATGAGTTGTTTAGTAGTGTCAGGGGTTAGGAACGTACGTATTTTGGAGATGATGCGGAGGTGGAGCCTGCATGAGTTTTGCCAGCGATTGGACATGAGGTTGGAAGGACAGATTGAAGTCTAGAGTGACACCTAGGACTTAGGCTTGCAGAGTGGGACTGATGGTGGCGTTGTTGGCCGTGATGGAGAGGGTGGGGGGGTGCGGGCTGGGGGGAAAATTAGGAGCTCGGTTTTGGAAAGGTTTAATTTGAGGAAGTGGAGTGACATCCAGTCTGAAAAGTCATTCAGTAGGCAGGTGATTGAAGGGGTGAGGCGAGGGGTAGAGAGGTAGATTTGCATAATACAGTCATTCAATGCAACTAAAACCATTAAAAACCACCACTTCATCGATTTAGTGAGCATTTGGTTGATTTTGAAACTGACAGCAGTAGCCCAATTTTGATTATCACTTCTGGTCAAGTGAACAAGTCTCTGCATGTTCAAGGAGAACAGATCAATTCAGATCAATTAAGTGAACATTTTGAATAGGTTATTTACAGCTATAACTGAGAGGTCATAGTTTCAATTGATATTTTCAGTAATTTACAGAACATATAACAATACTGTTTGAGTGGCATCATTCAAATTTTTATTTGATGATAGATTGCTTGTATCAGCATGTGCCCTGATGATCAGTGTAGCCCCAGGAGTGCCACCTGTCAGTGTCCATCAATGCAAGCTGTCAGTGCTCATCAGTGCCACATCAGTGCCTAATAGTGCACATCAATGCCACATATCAGTGCCCATATGAGCTGCCTTTCAGTGTCACCTATCAGTGCCAGTCAGTGCCGCCTAACAGTGCCATTTATGAGTGCTGCCTTTTAGTGCCCATCAGTGATGCCTGTCAATGCCCATCAGTGCCACCTACCAGTGCCTCCTCATCAGTGCCCATCAAAGCAGCCCATCAGTGCCCATCAAAGCAGCCCATCAGTGCCCATCACTGCAGCCTCATTAGCGCACATTAGTGAAGGAGAAAAATCACTTATTTACAAAATGTTATAACAAAAACCAAGAAAAAAAATTTTTTTTGTCAAAATTTTCTGTTTTTGGTTTGTTTAGCAAAAAATAAAAAACCAGGATGTGATTAAATACCACCAAAAGAAAGCTCTGTCTCAAAGAAGATAAAAAATGTCATATGGGTACAGTGTTGCATGACACAATTGTCATTCAAAAGTGTGACAGCGCTGAAAGCTGAAAATTGGCCTGGGCAGGAAGGGGGTATAAGTGCCCTGTAGGCTAGTGGTTAATAGATAACATTTGGGGGGGCACTCATTTGGCAAGATCAGTTATAAACACCTAGAATGAATAATGATACAATTAGTTGAGGAAAGTAGAAACATAGTGCTGGGCCCATAGAGTTATGTCACTGGTATTGTGATCTTATAAAGTATTGATGCTGATGTTAATGATCTGGTTCCCAGGAAGGCAGATTTATCAGGGCTAGAAAGAACATAAGAGGATCTCCATATCTATCCAATATCCATACAATATCCCCTCCACAGGGGAGGGAATATGGTCTGAAGTTTTTGTGTATTATTTTGACACTTTCAATACTATTGACTATTTGGTTTTAAATATGATCCCATGGAGTGAATATTGTATTGATCTCAGATTGATATGGAGATCTAATGTTTCTAGCCCTGATAAAGGATTTGCTTTTGGACCACTGAAATGTGTTGGCTGCTTTTTGGACTGTACCTCTGACTTACCAGCATAAAGTTGCATTCAGACCTCTTAGCAATGGTGTAGCACTTCAATTTCAATGATTGGAATGGTAAAATAAGCCCTTTGAAAGCAATTTTTAAAAGGCTATAGTTTTAAGAAGCCAATGACCAACATAATACCATAATAATTATGATTTTATTATTGTATTGACCTTTCCAGTTTCAAAGAAAGGGGCATCAAATCTTATTAAAAAGCTTGTTGATGCGACATGTTTTTCCTGTCGAAATATAGTTTTAAAAAAAAAAAGTGTTAAGTTCACAAAGCAAATTCATCTTTATTTAATCATCATAAGCACTGTGTGCCAGAAGTGCAGACTTATCATTGATTATTAACATCTGAGCTTTTCTCTGTCTCTGAATAGATTGGGTTAGTTATATAATGACACGGCTGTTAGCACTGACCTTTGAGAGGGGAATTTTATTTCTATTCTGGCCGGTTCCTAGATATTTAAAAGTAATTTTCCAGAGCCCATGAATATTTTGCACACCGAGTGGCCAATAAAAAGACTCATATTTTCTTAATCAAAACGTTACAACTACCTAATGCAACAGAGCGGTTTAGGTAAAGTGTTGCCTATCGTTCCACATCACAAACCTTAATCACTTCATTAATATCATAGCAGAAGGATAGTTAGTTGGCTTGCAAATAAAACTGTGGCCCAAATCTACTGAGAGCACCTTAAAATGAGAAAAAGCTCCTTCAAGAGTGAGAAAGCAGCTCTACAGTGTTCCTTCGCTTTATGCAGACACAATTAAAACAGCACAAAAACATATTACTAACTTTATATTACACCGTGCATTATGTATGCGCAACAGAACTACTATACAGTATATGAAAAAGTTTTACTTTTGAAGAAACTTCGCCCTTATGCATACAGAATTTATGTGCCAGCTGTATTAAGATTCTAGTGTATTCTTGCTACTGGATTCTCAGATGGATGTAGATAGTTGTGGGTGCGCAATCTGTGCAAAGCAATGACAAGCTGACAGCAGCTGCAGGGTGTTGAGATGTAATTGCACGTAAGGCAATTACCTGAGGTTAGACACACGATAGCCCCTGGATGCAAACTGTTTGCACCCAGGAGTAATCCTCTTTCCCCAATCGCAGGTAATTGCTTCATGTGCAATTGCATCTGAACACCCGTCAGCCTGTCACTGCTTTGCACAGATTGCACCCCCACAACTATCCACATCCATCTGAGACTCCAGTAGCAAGAATACACTAGATTCTTACCACAGCTGGCATGTCTTGTAAATCAGGAATAAATCTCAAATTCAAAAACATCTGCAATATTATATTAGAGTAGTAGACATTAAAATTGGATCCAACTTTGAAATCGTGCAATTTCAGGTCACACGATTTCAAAACAGCAGGTCAGTGTGACTTGACATCTGTGCGATTTCATGCTCAAATGTCTAAGAAAAGTTGCACCTGAAATCGCAAAAAAAAAAAAAAAAATAGTAGTTAAGAAACTTTTTTTTTTTTTTTTAAATCAGTGCACCGATTTGAATAGTTCCATTGCCGACAATAATGTGCGACTTGTCATATGATTTGAAACTGTCTAGGGGTGTCAGTATTAACAAACCACAAACGCAGTGCATTTGCCTGCACTAGATCACATGGTACAGTAGTACCATGTGGCCTGGTTGCTGTGCGTTTTTTTTTTTTTTTTTTTTTTTTTAACAGTAATGCACTACTTTTGGTGTGATCTGGTGTGATTTCAGCCCATCAGTAATGCACTACTTTTGGTGTGATCTGGTGTGATTTCAGCCCATTTAAATGATAAAACACATTTACAAAAAAAGATTAGACACTGAAGTTCACCAACAGGGAAATATAAACACCAAGGGGCCAGGATTCACACCATTTTCCAATGGAATCCGACTGGAAAAATGTGGTGAAAATTAAGTAAATCTTGTGTGAAAAAATATATTGCAGTGTACCAGTCTGCAGTGTACCAGTCTGCATCTATGGAAAAGCAGTGTCGTCAAAAGACAAGGACAAGAACTGTGCTAGGACTACAGAACACCTCCCTCTCAAATAGAGGTAAGCTAGGCAAGACTGATAGTACGGCTTGAGATTTTATTTATTTCAGGTACTTATATAGCACTTTATATATATTGTACATTCACATCAGTCCCTAACCCTCAACGGGCATACAATCCAAAGTCCCTAACTCACATTCATACATACACATACTAGGGCTAATTTAGACAGCATCCAATTAACCTAACAGCATGTTTTTGGAGTGTGGGAGGAAACCGGAGCACCCGAAGGAAACCCACGCAGGCACAGGGAGAACATGCAAACTCCAGGCAGGTGGTGCCGTGATTGGGATTCAAACCAATGACCCTAGTACTGCCAGGCGGAAGTGCTAACCATTTAATCACTGTGCTGGATGGCACCACACTGGATTTTTAGATGAACAAGAAGATTTTATCCTGCACTCGCTTAGCAGATATTGTATAATAAAATCGCTTTATTAGTATATTTAAGAGACCATATAGAAGTAAAATAAAGTCAACTGTTGGGTTTACATACACTTTAATAACTACTACAGAATTGAAATCAGCCTCTGCGTAACCTTTCCTTAAGAGCCTGTAGGCTGAGAGCTTAAATGATAAGCTATGGCAGGGCTTATTTCTGAAAACACTACTCAAAGAGCAATGACCTGGTGTAAAGTTGAAAGAAAAGAAAAAAAAAAAAACACCCACATGAAAAGAAATGAAAAACATAATATGGTCTGATGAATCATCTTTCACCCTATTCCCAACATCCAGATTAGTTTACGTTTGGAAAAAACAAATGATGCTTTCAACTTACAATATCTGTAGCCAGCTCTTTAGGTATTGTCATCTATCTCGGGGTAATCACTAGGACTGATGATTGCTGTGTATTGGCTTATAAAGGCTACGGGAATATAAAACCATTTTAAAGGGCCAGTGGCACCCATAGGTGGAAACCTCTTTCCCTTCTGTTTCCACATTCTGAAATAATGTGCCTTTACATACAGATAAAGGAAATGACAAGTTCCTGTTATAAACACATTCCTTAACCTCCCTGGCGGTATGATGATTTCATATTTTTGGTGCTGAAAGCGGTACCATTATTTTGCATGGAAATATGTAGTTTTTTTATTGTAGGCTGTAATTTTTAGGAATAACTCACTGAAATCTGTCTGAACAAGATTCTAAATCATACATTTAATTCAATAATATAATCAAACCAAAAACACTAAAATTTGAAATATAGCGCCAAGTTCGCACATCGCTGAGCAAAGTCGCAAAATCATTTCAGTGTCTGATGACGAATTTCTCCACGAATCATTATCACTCAATTCTGCAAGTGGTTCTGATTTACTATCGCTGTTCTCTAGCTGATCTAAACCCGCTTTTGACCTAAAGGGACACTTTTTGGACGCCATGGACTTTTCTAAGTTTCCAGGCAGAAAGAACAATCAAAATGCAGACAGGGGACAGGACAAAGCAGTAGGGGCAAAATGTATGTGAAATGGGTTGAAACAGCAATGTTTTACTATGTAAAATCGTTTTGAAAAAAATGACTTTCAAAATTTCCCGCCACCGGCGGCGCTTGTACGTCCCAACGTCACAGGGACCGGAACACAGGAGGCGGATGCCGGCATCGCTGCAGGGGACACATCGTGGGAGCCAAGGACAAGGTAAGTGCTGCAGGGACTCCCTATGCAGCGCCGCATGGTAAGCCCGAGTGTAGCTCGGGGTTACCGCTTTTGGTATAGACATTTTACCCCGAGCTACACTCGGGAATACCGTTAGGGAGGTTAAACAAATGAAGACTGAAGGAAAATGTGGCCCTGCTACTTAAAGGACAAGTTCACGTTTGGGAACACGTTCCATCCGTTTTTAAAGTGGAACATGTAACATGTTCCTGATCCTGCAGCCGCCACCCGCTGCAGGATCCTGCAAAAAAAATGTGCATTTATTATTGTTTGTGGAAAGATGAACATATCCATTAATACCGTATTTTCCGGTGTATAAGGCGACTGGGTGTACAAGACGACCCCCTAATTTTCCAGTTATAACATAGATTTTGGGCTATACTCGCCATATAAGACTACCCCCTTCCGAGGCAACACCATTTAAAAACATACAGTATACCGTGCTGAGCCAAGCTGGCTCAAAACAAATGTCCCTATGACAGATTAATCTGTCAGCCCGCTGGATGTGTGGTATATACAGTATACTGAGCCAAGCCGTTTCAAAACATCCAGTATGTCTTACTGTAATCAGCCCGCTGGA